AAACCAGCACTGCAGGTATCTGTTTGTTCCTCTCAAGATATTCCAATAAGTCTGTTACTTGCCTTACATTATCCTTCATATATCTACCCTCGATAAATCCCGCTTGGTCATCATGAATCACCTTTTGGATTACTGGCATCAGCCTGTTGGCTAGTACTTTTGCATAAATTTTATAATCAGTATTAAGAAGAGATATTGGTCTATAATTCTCCGGTTTTTTAGGACCTGCTTGTTCTTTTGGTATCAAAGAAATATAAGCTGTTGTCCATGATGGGGGTATTTTACCCCCTTGTTGAATATTACAAAACAAATCTCTAAGTTGTTCCACCATTTCTGCTTGCAGAGTTTTATAGTACACTGCAGTCAAGCCATCCGTTCCAGGAGCTTTAGCTATTTTTAATTGTTTAATTGCTGCCATTATCTCCTCCTCTGTTATAGGATAATTCATTCTTTCCTTTTGTTGATCTGTGATTTTTGTAATTCTTTTATTGTCTAAATATTTTTCTATAAGTCCATTCTGCACATCATCTTTAGCATATAGTTTAGTATAATAGTCCACAAAAGCTTCTTTAATTAATTTTTGTTGAAAAATTTCTTTCCCTCCAATATCAATATTATCAATAGTCCGTATACTCTGCTTTTTTCTTAATGTGTAAGCCAACCATCTGCCCGGTTTATTGGCATTACAAAATGTATTATGCTTCGCATATTGTAAGTTTGTTGCAACTTGTTCCGCCATAAGCATTTGAAATTGGTCTTTCAGAAGTTTTATAACACCACGTATACTTTCATCTGTTGGGTTTTTAATAAGTAGCTGTTCTTTGTTCTTTATTTCTACTTCCAATTCAGATCTTTTCTTTTGTCGAATCAATCTATGTTTAGAGTTCATGTAAAGAAGCACCCCTCTCATATAAGCTTTGCTCGCATCCCACACAATTTCAATTGGGGTACCTTTATTCAAATTTATTTCAAAAAATTCTTTCAAGTGCTTTTTAAGTTCTATTATGTTTTTTTCATATCTGAACAAGTTTTCATTCACTCTCCAAGAGCGTTGCTCAGTCTTACCCATCTCGATTTCTATCCATACTGGGCTATGGTCGGACAAAGTTCTTGGGAAAATCTTTGTTCTTTTTGTCTTAACAAGTAAATCATCTGACAACAAAATAAAGTCAATCCTAGCGAAGGATCTATGTCTGTCGGAAAAAAAAGTATAATCCAATTCTTTTGGATTATGTATTCTCCAAATATCTTTTAATTCCAGGTCTTCTTTCATATAAAAAAAAAGTCTGTGGTAGTCTAATCCTGGATTTCGCCAAACTCTTTTTTATCTAGTTTAGAATCGATTACTCCATTCCAGTCTCCCATTATTAAAATAGATCTATAGTCCCATTGCAATATTTTAGTATGTAACATTTTATAAAAATGATCCTGTTGTTGGTTGGGAGCATAAATTCCAATCAAAAGAATTTGGCCATTTACTGTAAGCATTTTGATTGCTATAAACCTACCATCTTCATCTGCTTCTATAATTTTAGCTGTTAATCTTTTGTTTACATAAATAACCACACCATTCTTTTTTTGCAAGGTTGAAGATATAAAATGTGTTCCTAATTTAGAATTTATCAAGTATTTTTGATCTTGAGTTGTGATATGAGTTTCTTGTAAACAAATTATATCATTATTAAATTGTCTCAAATATGCAAATAACTTCTTCCTTTTCTGTACTGAGTTCAACCCATTCACATTCCAAGATAAACACTTAATCGTCATCTTTATCTTTGTGAAGCAACGAGCAGAATATCCGAATATCTTCCGGAATCTTCGGTCTTGCTCCCCCCATGGCTCCAGTCTCTTGTGTGGTACTCTTAGCTCCCTTTTTATCTTGTCTTTCCTGTTGTTGTTGCTTTTCTTTAAGTTGCCTAGATTTTGCACGAGTTATACGCTGATCCTTAACCTCAACCATCCGAACTGGGTCCAGGATTGAAGAAGATTCCAACAGAGGCTCATCCAAAAAACCTCCTTCAGCACCCTGCGTTTTCTCTAACTCCACCTGCTTTGACTGTTCTTGCTGTTCTTGTTGAAGTTGCTTCTTATCACTCTCCTTAATCTCCAGGACTGTAGATGTACGTGGAGATGGTGATCTTTCTTTAAAAATAGTAGTGTAGAAATACTCCGCCTTCTCCACAGTATTCAAACGATGTCTTTTTCCCTTATATTTCAAAATTATGCCAGTTGGGGCATCCCACCGAAATGGTATCTCTTGTTTTTGCAGTTCTTTTACAAGAAAGCCAAAATCTTTTCTGGCTTTCAGCATTCTAGGTGGTAGTTCCTTGTAAACTCCAATTTGTGCACCCCCCACTTGCACAGAAGTAAGAAAGGATTTTTGCAGGATATCATTTCTTATTGCTCTGTCCGTAAAATATATGACCACATCTCTAGGCAATTGTCTTTGTCTGGCCACCCAAGAATTCACTCTGTAAATTTTGTCTATTTTGTAAAAAACCACATCAGGATTAATTTTTAAGAGCACTGCCGGAGCATCAGCACAAATCTGTCTCAAATCCTGTCTGTCATCCTCTCTGATTCCTCGAAGCCTTATGGCAAATTCCATTGCCCTGAATTGCATCATAATAATTTCGTTTTCAACTCTCTGCATTTTATCATCAACATCAGAAATTTTATAGTCATTGTCTTTCATCTTAACATTGACTTCTGATTTAAATTCTTCCACTTTAGAGTCAACTTTAATAATAAATTCTCCAAGGCCAGATGCCACCTCTGATATTTCTTTAGTCACCTTGCCATAATCCTGTTTCACCATATCTTTGATTTCATTAATTTCCTGCATAATTTCCTGTTGAGATTTTTGAAGTTTATCATCTATTTCCTGTTGGGATTTTTGAAATTTATCATCCAAAGCTTTGGAAATTAATTCTTTTAAATTTTCAATATCAAAATCTTTTTTCTGAGTCTGTATCTGTTGAGCAGGGGGAAGCTGCGTTTCATGTTTATGTGTGGGGGATCCCCCCCCCTGCTGCCTTTCCTTCCTGCTTCTTTGAAGCCATCCTGCCACGTAAGCTAGATTTTCTGAAAAGGGAAGTCCCTTTTCCTTTTCCACCTCCACAGAGACTTCTAAAAAAGTCCCCCAGCTTTAATCAAATAGAAACTGGAGTAAAGCAAAGTCAGATTTTTTTTAAAAAAGTTTTTCTTTTCCCCCTTCTTCTCTTATTTCTCTTTATTACAGGCAGAGCAACTTTGTAGCAACTTTATAACTTTGTAGCAAAGCAAGATGACTTCACAAATCTACTCTCACTAGCTCGTTAACTCTTGTGCTGGGCGCCATATTTTTTCAAATCACTTTCACTCACTTGTATTTTTTCTTGAATTAAAAAGTCAACAAAGCACTAATACTTGCGATTTCTAAGTTTCAGGGTTCAAGTTAATATTTCTGCTGCTTGTTAAGGTTGGTTCCATTCACTTTAAATGTTTGCTGCAGCCGGCTTGTTCTGCTGAAAGCAGAATCGTCCCACGCCGCCCGGAGTCTCAGCAGGTTGGGAGGGAGCCGCGCCTGTTTCCTCCCCAGAAGCAATTCCCTGGGGGCTTACAGGGGCTCAACCTGTACTCTGCTATCTCTCCTCCTTCAATCCTCGGGATTTTGGAGTTTTCGAGCCGCTTCTCGATCGCGAGGCGGCTCTACAGGCGGCGGTGCTGGCGGTGCTTAAAAAGGCACCGTCGTCACCGAAGCTAGCAAACCGGAAGTGTGCAGAGCTACTCAGTCTTGTCAAGATTTGGCCAATTCACCATGGTTTGAAGATATATAATTGGCTAGCATCTGCATACTATGATATCTCACTCCATGGAAACAGATGAGTTCACCCTGTGTTCTAATGTAGATGTTAAAAAGGATAAAGCATTGAATCCTTTCCACCTCAAATAAGAGGCGCCAAGGGAAGAACTTCTCCCTCTGCACATGCAAGAAAGACAGAGAAGTACTCGTACTTTGTTGCCATTACCTCCATTAGATAGGCCCTAATAAAAACTTTAATCTGGGTTCAGTTGAGTTTTTCCTTTGTTTCGTGCCAGTGATACTCTAGATCAGGGGTGTCAAACTCAAGGCTCGGGGACCAGATCCTGTCTGCAGGGTGATTAGATCTGGCCCATGGGGCCACCCTGGAAACCATGAAGGACCGGTCCATGGTGCCTCTGCCAGCAAAAATTGAGCTTGGGAGGGCCAAATGCAATCCTCCCAAGCTCTGCTTTCACTGGCAGAGGGTTGCAGGAGACTGTCACAGCCAAAAACGGAGTTTTCATTGGCAGAGTGCTTGGACCACCACAGGCACCCCCAACACGAGTAAAGTTGAGCTGGCCACACCCACCCCGGCACAAAGATCAAACACAACCCTGATGTGGCCCTCAAGGAAATCGAGTTTGACACCCCTGTTCTAGATGTTTTTTCTCTCATTTTAGTCATAAACCATGGGGAGCGATGGGATCAGCAAGAGGCTAGAAGTCACAAAGGCGCAATCTGACCCAAGGTCTCAACTTCCTCCTTATTCCAAGCAACAATCAAGGCTTTGGGTGGACCTTAGTAGACCAACAAAGATAATCTCCATCAATCTTTAAAACCATTCAAACTTCTGCTGTCCTAATTTCTTGTTCATAATTTTAGGTTAGTATATGAAATCTCCCCAGGTATCATATATGTTTTGACTGTGTTTAAAAGCAGAACAATTCTGATGCAGAGAGATTGATATTACAAGTTCAACATGGGGATGAAGTCAATCAAATGGCTAATTTGATTGCTGGCATGGGAGGTGGGGCTGGGGTTTTTTAATGAGTTTTATTATGTGGGGGAATTTTTAAAAATGTTACAATATAAGTCTCCTGGACTCACATATGTGTAAATTGGGAGGTCATATACATTTGATTAATAAAATAATAAATGCATAAATAAACATAGCATTCTTGATTATGTTCAGATTATTTTAGGAATGACTCACCATGCCATATCTTTGCATATAAATTCAGACATTGTGCGATCCTTTGCCTTGGTTTCCTCCACAAGACATATTCCTCTTTGGTATATGTTTTTTTCCAAATATAAAAATAAAATGTGCAAATGCAGAAAATTAAAAAAATAATTGAATATACAAAATGTATAATAATAAAAAGTACTGATAATATGAGCAGAAGCTGAAGTATAGAGCTCACAGATTCTGCTAAGAAAACAAAATCAATCCAGTTTTTCACCAAATGAATAAACCATGTTATAGGTTCACATTCAGAAGTATCCAACATAATTGCTTTCTTTTCATTCATATTAATAAAGAAAATGAAAAAATATAAAAATATAATTATTGGGAAAAAATGATGATATTTCTTCTTTTTTCTGAAAAAAAAAAGACAATTGTGTTCATTTATTCAAAGTATGATGTTGCACTTAAATTTTTAATCATTATTGTTTTCATCATTATTGATTTAATCACTTAATCATTTAAGTTTAATCATTAAGCTCTTTTCTCCATACTTCAAAATTTCCAATATAGCAACATTAATTACCGTATTTTCCGGCATATAAAACGACTGGGCGTATAAGATAAGGTAAAGAGGGACATTGTGGGCGTGGCTTATTTTGCGAGCGTGGCTAGCTGGTCATGTGACTGGGTGGGCGTGGCTAGCTGGTCATGTGACCGGGTGGCCATGGCTATGTGTATAGGGTAAGGTGAACAGATTTTAACATTGGTAAGAGGGACACCATTGTGGGCGTGGCTTATTGTGTGGGCATGGCTTGGAGGCCATGTGACTGGGTGGGCGTGGCTAGCTGGTCATGTGACCGGGTGGCCATGGCTATGTGTATAGGGACTACTCAGAGGGCTGGAAAGTCATTTCTGACAGGTCCTCACACTTTTGACTGGTCCTCACACTTATGACCATCCTCACATTTATGCCCGTGCAGCATTCTTAACAACCATGTCACTCATTTCACAACTGCTTCTCTTCACCATGGTGACAAGATAGGGCAAAAACGTAAAATGTGAGGACAGTCGTAAGTTCGAGGACTGGTCAAAAGTGTGAGAACCAGTCAAAAATAACTTTTTCAGCCCTCTGAGTAGTCCATATGCACAAAAGGACTAACCAGAGGGCTGAAAAAAGTCATTTCTGACAAGTCCTCGCACTTTTGACTGGTCCTCACACTTATGACCATCCTCACATTTATGCCCGTGCAGCATTCTTAACAACCATGTCACTCATTTCACAACTGCTTCTCTTCACCATGATGACAAGATAGGGCAAAAATGTAAAATGTGAGGACAGTCGTAAGTTCGAGGACTGGTCAAAAGTGTGAGGACTAGTCAAAAATAACTTTTTCAGCCCTCTGAGTAGTCCATATGCATAAAAGGATACAGTAATAGAGAGGGATGAAGGAAGGGAAGGGAAATTAGAGTAGGAGTGACGGTAAGAGAGGGAGGAAGAGAGGAGGAGAAGGAAAAAGGAAGAGGAAATAGGGAGGAGAAGAAGAGGGTGGGGGGAAGAGAAAGTAAGAAGGAAAGAAAAGAGAGGTGGTAGGTTTGAGCAGAAAGATTGCTGTACAATAAAAAAGATGAAAGGGAAGAAAGCCAACCCCAAACAAATATAAAGATATTAAGATAAAGAATGAATTGTTAAACTTTAAAGAATAAAAGAGAACAAATATGAATAAATAGCAATAATTAGAAACACACATACAAACATACAATGTATTTTCTTTGAACAGAATATTTGGCTGGTTCACAAATTTAAACAGTGTTTAGTCATTTCAATTAAATTTACAATTTCTATATTTCCTTTTTGCCATATTTATTCCTCATCTATTTTTTTTAAAAAAACAATATTACCCTTCATCCTCAACACTAATCTTAATCAAATTCAATTTTTCCCTTCTATTCTATATTATACCCCTTCCCATTGTCATCTATTTTTATATCCATCCTCACATTGGTTAATTATGTAATTATGTAATACAGTTCTTTAATACAAATTCAACATTTTAATATAAATCAATTAGTTATATAACTATCTTTTTTGTATATTAATCAATATGAACATGAATATTCCAATTATTTCCATGCAATCCAATTTCTTACAAATCAATTAATTATACTTACCAATAATAATAAACCAAATAATTTCCCCCATATATTCTTCCAAACCACAACTTAACCATTTCTGCTTTCAACACAGTATACAATTAATAGTATCTCAATTATTACAATTCCCTAGTTAAAAAGAGCTTTTTTTTCTTTTGTGTTTTAAAATCTTGAACTCTCCTCTTTTGCCCTAAATAATTTCCCATTGTTTGCACCTACCTTTTTTGGTGAGGAAAAGGAAAATAAATCTGCTGCCTAATTTTCCAACATTGCAAGCAAACAGCAAAGCCAACAGCCTGTTTTACTTTCAGTTTCGTTTTGAGCTTGGTTTGCACAAAGAGAAAAAAAAACTGCTGAGCAATTTAGCAAGAGCAGAGCCCTGCGCAAATCAGCTGAGAGGGGGAAGCCGAGCTAATCAACGTAGGGCGGCGCTTTGAAGCCCCGCGGCAAGAGTTTAAACAGGTTTTTTCCCTCTAGCCATCAGCTGGGACTCAGGAAGCAGCCGGGACTCAGGAGGCAGAATGAAAAATTGGGACTTTTTTAAAACGCCACGGGACGCGGGACAAATTGCTCAAAAGCAGGACTGTCCCGCCAAAAGCGGGACGTCTGGTCACCTTAGTATAAGACGACCCCTGACTTTTCCTGTTAAAATATAGAGTTTGGGCTATACTCGCCATATAAGACTACCCCTCTTCCAACGCACACCAAATTAAAATTAAAAAACATCAACTGGCTCACCCACAATGTAAAAGCAGCTGTGCTAGACCCAAAATGGCCCCTGCAACAAGCAGGAACCTCACACAGCCACAAAAAACCCAAAAAACAACTTTCACACTTTACACACACACAACACAACACAACTGGCTCACCCACAATGTAAAAGCAGCTGTGCTAGACCCAAAATGGCCCCTGCCACAAGCAGGAACCTCACACAGCCACAAAAAGCAAAAAAAAACAACTTTCACACTTTGCACACAACAAATTGCACATACAGCTTTGTGAGATTTTGTGTGTTTGTGTAGTTAGAGTAAAACACTACAGAAACACACTAAATCTCACAAAGCTGCACAAATATTATTTTATTTTTATTTTTATATGAAAACTAAATTTAAAACTTCCTAAGCTTTAAGTGGCTAGGTCTAAAAAAGAACAACTAAAAAAACCCCCCAATTAACTATTTTTTTTAAAGCTCCCAAAGGGGGAAAAAACTTACCCAATAGAACAGGGGTCTGCAACCTTGGCACCTTTAAGACTTGTGGACTTCAACTCCCAGAATTCCTCAGCCAGCCTTGTTTTGCTGGCTGAGGAATTCTGGGAGTTGAAGTCCACAACTCCCTGCCTGCTTGATTGCAGGCAGGGAGTGGCTTGCTGATGGAATGGATTCAGGCAAGCGAAGCAAGGCAAGCGTTACGACTAGTAGCTAAGGTAAACAAGCTGGAGGGGGAAACTTTTTTTCTTTTACATGGCTCTGGCGATCCAATTCAGGCAACTGATTAGCAGGCAACTCAGCTGAGATTGTCAGAGTTTGGATCACCAGACCCATTTAAGGTAAGGTGACCAGATTTTAACATTGGTAAAGCAGGACACCATTGATGAGAGGGGGAGGAGAGGGCGGGCGCTAGTCAAAAATAACTTTTTCAGCCCTATGAGTAGTCCATGTGCACAAAAGGACTACACAGAGGGCTGAAAAAAGTGATTTCTGACAGGTCCTCCCACTTTTGACCGGTCTTTGCACTTATGACTGGTCATCATTTATGCCCATTGTAACATTCTTAAGAACCGTGTCACTCATTTCACAACTGCTTCTCTTCACCATGGTGACAAGATAGGGCAAAAACATAAAATGTGAGGACAGTCGTAAATTTGAGGACGGATCAAAACTGCGAGGACCAGTCGCAAACAGAGGGCTTTTTCAGCCCTCTGAGTGGTCCATATGCATAAAAGGATACAGCAATAGAGAGGGATGAAGGAAGGAGAAGAGAGAGGGAAGAAGGAAGGAGAGAGAGGGAAGGAAGAGAAGGGAGGAAGGAAGGGAAGAGAAATTAGAGTAGGAATGAGGGTAAGAGAGGGAGGAAGAGGAGGAGAAGAGAAAGGAAGAGGAAGTAGGGAGGAGAAGTGGGGGAGAGAAAGTAAGAAGGAAAGAAAAGAGAGAGTTGGTAGGTTTGAGGAGAAAGATTGCTGTACAATAAAAAAGATGAAAGGGAAGAAAGCCAACCCCAAACAAATATAAAGATATTAAGATAAAGAATGAATTGTTAAACTTTAAAGAATAAAAGAGAACAAATATGAATAAATAGCAATAATTAGAAACACACATACAAACATACAATGTATTATGTATTATTTATTAGTGTTTAGTCATTTCAATTAAATTTACAATTTCTATATTTCCTTTTTGCCATATTTATTCCTCATCTATTTTTTTAAAAAACCAATATTACCCTTCATCCTCATCTCTAATCTTAATCAAATTCAATTTTTCCTTTCTATTCTATATTATACCCCTTCCCATTGTCATCTCTTTTTATATCCATTCTCACATTGGTTAATTATGTAATATTACAGTTGTTTAATACAAATTCAACATTTTAATATAAATCAATTAGTTATATAACTATCTTTTTTGTATATTAATCAATATGAACATGAATATTCCAATTATTTCCATGCAATCCAATTTCTTACAAATCAGTTAATTATATTTACCAATAATAATAAACCAAATAATTTCCCCCATATATTCCTCCAAACCACAACTTAACCATTTCTACTTTCAACACAATATACAATTAATAGTATCTCAATTATTACAATTCCCTAGTTAAATAGAGCTTTTTTCCTTTTGTGTTTTAAAATCTTGAACCTCCTCTTTTGCCCTAAATTTCCTATTGTTTGCAGTTTTGCACCTACCTTTTTTGGTGAGGAAAAAGAAAAAGAAAAAAGAAATCTCTCTCTGCAGCAAAGACCCTGCTTTACTTTCAGTTTCGCTTTTTCAGCATAGCTAGGGGAAAAAAACATTTGCTCCAGCAATTTACCTCTTTGCAGCTAGCTAGCAAGAGATCCCTCCGCAAAACAGCTGAGAGCAAATCAGCTGAGAGTTGGGAGGCTGATCAAATCAATTTATGGTAATTAACCTATGCTGAAGCTGAAAGGGTCTGTTTTTTCTATTTT